AAACGAAACTATGAGGGCGTACGTTTTTCTCGAAAAGAAATTTATATATAAATCCTAATTTTTTTTAAACTATATATAGATAGTATAAAATTAATAATAATATACCGGGCGTTAAGCGTATTTTAAAAAATGGAATTTATAGTGCAACTCTTAAACGAGAATTGATAGTGTGAGTTCTTTCATGTGGTGTATCTCACCGTCGTAGCAACGCCTCGAAAGGAGTAAAATCTCTTGCGCCTCTTGCCTTAGTTTTATTATAGGATGTGTGTGGTGGTGGTGTTTATAGAATATACCCGGTGTAAACGGTAATCGAGAACACTCAATATCTTTGCGTAGAGACCTGATATTTGAATTCTGTTTTTTTGGCAGTTGTTATGACATAAAAATACACATTTTTATGGTCTTTGAATTTTTTTTACTTAACTAGTCACGCGCATGCGCATGTCAACTTTTTTTTTTTTAAATGGCAACCCCCTGCTTTAACCACTAATTATTTTTCGCCTATTTTTTTAATGAATTTTGGTAGTTGAATCAACTTTCTAAGTCCAAAATTGACTAAGTTACAGCAATTCAAAAAAAAAAAAAAAAAATTAGAAAAAAAATGCTCTCGATTTTCAGCTTTTTAATTGTAACTCTGAAAATAATTATTATAGGATTGTTAAAGATTGACATTTTTATAACTATTTATTACGGTGATATTAATACGTTATTTTAACTTCAATTACTGAATAATTTTCTATAAGAACGTTAAGTTATAAATGTATTTATAAATTGTTCAAATTAATTAGGTAATTACCTCTGCTAATCTAATACTTATCGTATTTTTCGGTTATTAATAAGATTAAACATTAGGTTTACCTTATAGTAAACTTTTATCTGTATGACAATTTGATATAAAATTATAAATACGATGAGATAAATGAAATAACTGAACATTTCGATATTTTTCATCGTTCAAACCGTGCGTTACTCCGTGACAAATATGCCTCATTCAGATAAAGTTGATATGTTATTTATTTATTGGGAGTGTCAAAAAAATGCACGTCTTGCGGCACAAACATATGCACAACGTTACCCAGGTATAATTGTCTTTATTTTTCTTTACATAATCTTCTAAGTTAGTTTCGTTATTTTTATTTACTTCAGATAGAGAACATCCTGTCCATAGTTTTTTTTATAACTTAGAAAAGAATCTAAGAACCTATGGATCATTTTCTAAAAGGGTAAATAATTTACAACAAAGACGAGGTGATGCCTTAGGTGAAGAGGTCGAGGAAAACCTATTAGCCTATGTTCGAGCAAATCCTAGAAGTTCAACACGGCACGTTGGTAGAGAGCTTGGAATATCTCATACCACAGTTTGTAAGATATTAAAAAAATATAAAATGCATCCATATCGACCAGATTTAGTTCAGCATTTGCGTCAGGGTGATGCACCTCGTAGACTAGCTTTTGTTGCGTGGTTGATGACCAGTTTAGACGAAAATCAATCAATGTTAAACTCAATATTATGGACAGATGAATCCAAGTTTATTAATAATGGTGTAATTAATAAACAGAATAACCGTTACTGGGACGATCAAAATCCACACTGGACATTTGAAACCAATAATCAAACTGTTTGGGGAACAAACGTTTGGTGTGGTTTAATTGGTGGTAAATTGCTTGGTCCATTTTTTTATGATGGAACACTCAATGGTAGACGATATTATAATTTTTTACTAAATGAATTACCAATGATGCTTGATGATATTCCTTTAGCTTTGAGAGGTAATATTATTTTTCAACACAACGGTGCTCCAGCTCACAATGCTCACATAGTTCGTGACTATTTAAATGCACAATTTCAAAAACGATGGCTAGGAACTTACGGACCCATTGAGTGGCCACCACGATCACCTGACCTTACGCCACTAGATTTTTTTTTATAGGGACACTTGAAAACAATAGTGTATGCCGATCCTCCTATAAATCTTCAAAATTTAAAAGATAAGATAACAGCAACATGCAATCGACTGACTGATGAACAAATTACTGCTGCAACAAATAAAGAATTTATGCGGCGCGCTGAAGCATGTTTTGTTCACGGCGGAGAACAGTTTGAACAATTTATTCGTTAGATTTTTTTTTTATTTTTAGATTTTTATTAACTAAATAAATAGGTAACTTAAATAAGAATTGAATTTGTTATTAATTATTAATACGTTCTAATAGATCCATTAAATGTAAAGAAATAAACAACATACTAATTTACGTTTTTTCTGCAATAATAAGTTATGATTTATTACACAAACTAAAGAAAAAATTATTCAGTAATTGAAGTTAACCTAACGTATTAATATCACCATAATAAATAGTTATAAAAATGTCAATCTTTAACAATCCTATAATAATTATTTTCAGAGTTACAATTAAAAAGCTGAAAATCGAGAGCATTTTTTTTTATTTTTTTTTTTTTTTTTGAATTGCTGTAACTTAGTCAATTTTGGACTTAGAAAGTTGATTCAACTACCAAAATTCATTAAAAAAATAGGCGAAAAATAATTAGTGGTTAAAGCAGGGGGTTGCCATTTAAAAAAAAAAAGTTGACATGCGCATGCGCGTGACTAGTTAAGTAAAAAAAATTCAAAGACCATAAAAATGTGTATTTTTATGTCATAACAACTGCCAAAAAAACAGAATTCAAATATCAGGTCTCTACGCAAAGATATTGAGTGTTCTCGATTACCGTTTACACACGTATACTAAAGACTGTTTTCAAACGCACTACATTAAAAAAGATGGATAAAGAAAAAAAATTTGATAGTTAATTAGTAGAGTTGATTTATTACAATGAATACTACATCATTAGAATACAAGTTAGTACAATGAATACAAATTAGACAAGTTAGTTATCGATATAGTTAAAAAACTCTTCGTCGTCTTCAGTTTTATAGTGCGGTTGAAGAACGAGAGAATCTTTGAATTCATCGGGAATTTTATAGATCACTATATCTTGATCATACGTTGGATCAAATTTAAATAAGTCACAAGCCTATTTGTTTCTGGAAACTATAAAGTTAGTTATTTATAAGCGAACGGAACGATTGATCCTGGACTTTACTCTTTGTAATGTTATTATAAACAATATAAACTTCCAAGTCCACGCTAAAGATGACTATGTCATCGTAAAAACAAGTCACGTCAAGTTTTTTATTAACTGTGATATGAACGTCTGGCGAGCCCATAAAAATTTGATTGCGCCTAGCATTGTCCAAAGCTATCTTAGTCTCTTTAGCATACCAGATTTCTTTGCAATCGGTAGAAGTGTTTATAAACTCGTAATACTTATCATTCAGACGCTCCCAGTCTTTTAATATGTGATTAAACACTAAATAAGGCTACTTAACGCACATAGTGTTATTGTACAAGTACTCTTGTAACGATAGCAAAAGTATAGGTATATTATTAGAGTTTATAACTACGGAAACTGGAGTATGGTCTCCCTCCGGGTTGAAGAGTGCCGAGTAAAATAATGGCGTGGAGCATTCGGACGAATGATAGCCACAGGCTTTCTTCAGCATGTCCATAAAGAATACGAATTCTCTTAGAACCAGAGGGTTGTAGTCCGGATCGGAATAGACAAAATTGATGAACATTTTAAAAGGGAGAGAGTGATGGAGACATTAGAAACAGACAACTCGAAAAGTCTCTACATTTGCGATCCCGAACTGTTTGTATGATCTTTGAAATCGAGTAAGAAGCGTAATATAGAGAAAAGTTATTACCTTTTGCTGGGGTTCTGGTGCAATTCCATGTTTTAAGAGTGATGGAGCGACTGCGTCGCAAACGAGGAGAGAGAAGTAGCACTACTGCTAACTAAACTTGTGTGATCAGAGTATAGGTTCTCCTACGAGAATGAGCTCTAACCGAGATTCGGGATCCTTAAATATGCCGCGAGAATTCAACTTATCGCGTACGAGCAAAGAGCAGTAGAAAAATGAATAGAATGGCGTGCGAAGGATCAAACAGACGTAGAAAATGTCAGCCGATAGAAGAAGTGACTTGGGAGTCGTAAAAATCCGTCTATATGCTCGACGCGACCTCGGCAGGCCTTTTTATTACTACACGCGCCTTATCGTAGATGATTCGTATAAAAACACAAGGCTTGTCGCTATGTTTCTATGACACAAAGTGTGATAATTGTTATAGTCAGCGCACGACGACGTAAAGTGCATGTTTCTATTATGATGATTGGTGCTTTTGCTCTTCGTCGCTTCGTCTCTCGTCGAGACGTCGTCGTAGCGGCGTAGATAAAGCACGTAGCCGATCGGTGACTGGGTATATAACAGCGCTGTCCGCCTAGAGCATGTTCATTCGAATTCAGAGCTCATTGGTGACTTGTTCGTGGCGTTTTTTTGACCCGGACGAACTTTTACGTTGTTTACGCGTTGTTCATGATTTGTTTACGCATTTGTTTTGATTTGTTCATACGCCATTGTTTATAATGGAAATGGAAGACTTTTTATCCGATGTTTCGGTCTTCGATCTATTCCCAAAAGTGAGTATTACTTTAAATTTACTTTAAGCGTACACGCGTGAACATATTTCTGTTTTTCCGTTCACTTTTATTCGTTCATACATGTTATATCTTTTGCAATGCCAACTCACAAGAACCGCACACAAGCATAGAAAGGTTACCACTGTTTTATATTTGTAAATCATATCGCACGATGGCGAGCACACATTATTATTATTATAGTTTTACAAATAATGATACGATAACATTATATATATATATACATATAAATACATAACATCTTTCCCTTCTTTAATTTAATTTTACAATACAATAACAATAATGTTAATACATTTCATAATTTTATACAACAAAATATAATTATTACTATTATTACGTTTTACAATACCATACATATAATAACAATTTTTGATGTATAATATAATTAATTTACAAGATTACAGGTAACATGAAGTGCATTACCCAACATTTTTTTTTTTTTTTAAACTCCTTTTGGATGTATATTTTCATTTAAATAACTCTTTTTTAATTTATTTATGTGCATCAATCTGATTTTATCATTTACCCGAACCAAGTAACTACATGTTCCTAGCCTTTTCATAATACGTCCTGCTCGCCATTTTTGCCCTTTAGAATTATTTCGAACAAGAATTTTATCATTTATTTCATATTTAATGACGTTATCATTTTTATTACTTTCCACAATACACGGTGGTTTTAGTACGGATAAGTGATTTTTTGGTTTAAATTTATATATTAATTCAGCTGGACTACAACCTGTACTAGTTGTTGGTGTATTACGATAAGATACCAAAATGCTATTAATTTTTGATTGAATTCTCTTCACATCTCTCTCTACACACAAACTCTTTATTAGCAACTTTTTTATTGTTTGTACACCACGCTCTGCCAACCCATTCGACTCCGGATTATATGGAGGTGAATGCACTAATTTTATATAATTTTTTTCACAAAATGTTTTAAATTCATTTTCACCAAAAGGTAGACCATTATCAGCTACAATAATATCTGGTGAACCAAAATGACTAAAACAATCATCTAATACATCAATTACTCTAGTCACCGTGGTACTCCCCAATGCAAAACATTCAATCCACTTACTAAAGCTGTCAATAATAATAATTAATTTAACTTGATTTATTTCTAATAAATCGATATGTATTCTTTTCCAAGACTCAGATGAGTTTTCCCAAGATATATATACTTTCTCTCTTGTACTCTTATCGTTTTGATTACATTGACATTCTGTACACGTCTTAATAAATTTTTCTATATCTAGATCAATATTAGGCCACCATACATACGACCTTGCGAGCATTTTAGATCGTACTATACCTGGGTGATTTTTATGTACTAACTCTAATACAACCTCTCGTAATGACTTTGGAATAACCACACGATTACCTAAAACCAGACAATCATTTTCTATTGACAATTCTCCCCGTCTTTTAAAATATTGTTGACTTTCTAATTTTAATAATTTTTTCTCCGGCCAACCATATTTTGTATACTGACTTATCTCTTTTAATATTTCATCTGTGCATGTTTTTTCGCTCACATCCTTATACGTTAAAGGTAGATTTTCTAATAACAAAATTGAACCAGAATTTTCCTCAGTTTCACTGCATGGCGGAAGTCTTGATAATGCATCTACATTACTTATCTCGACTCTTTTTTTATGATGAATCTCGTACTGATAACTTGATAATATGATTGCCCATCTTTGTAATCTAGATGAAGCTACAACAGGTATATTTTTTTTTGGATGGAAAATTGACTTTAAAGGCAA